ACACACACACACATACATACACGGGAAAGATTACTATAAAAGTTAAATGCAAGCATAAACCAATGAGGTGAAAGAATTGATATCACCACTTTCAGGAGGAGATACTCCTAGCATAGGTTCTGGGATGTCTAGCTTAAGTTTTCAAATTCTTCTAGGAGTAGTCACTGAGCAAGAATAGATCTTGAAAGTAGAGGGGAAACTTTGTATGCTGCTCATGTAGAGCGAAGGTATAGACCTCCAGCATGAATGTAGTCAGATCTGTGTTTCCTCTCAAAGTCACGAGGGCCCATCTGAGCCCTCAGGAAATAAGTCAAAACATATTTGGGGATGAGCTAAATGTACTCTCCCTCATCATTACAGGAATAAGTGGGGAGAGCCGGACCTCATCTATACATGATCAAGACAAATATTTGCAGATACAAAAGAATCCGAGTTTTACCAAGCTTTGACCTCTCTGGTAAAGGGAGGACAAAGCCAGCAGACATCTGAGCAGTGACAGCCATCCACATACCTTAGATCATCTGTTGGGTCTAGATGATCTCTAAGTCTGCTGTATAATATCATCCTGGAAATTCCCTCATCTTCCTTTTGTGAGATTTGTATTCTTAATAGAAGAAAGCATGTCTGCAATGATTCCTTAAGAAAGGAAATTTGCATAAAGAATTCTTTATAAAGACATGATTTTGCTTTCAAATTTTGAAGGCATTGATCCACTTCTAGTGTTGCTCTTTGAAAAGACTAAATCTGTTTCTTATTTTGTATTTTTCATATGTTGGAGGAGTTTTTTTCTTTGTTCAGTGCTTTGTTATTTCATTATAAGAATGTTCATTTGGATCAATGTTCATCTGTAATGCTGTGTATTCATTATCCCCTTCAATATTGAAAACTCAAGTCTTCGGCTTTGGGCAATTTATTTGGTTGGTTATTTTTTCTCTTTCTATAGGATCCTTGTGATTCCAAATTATACCTCTAGAACTAATTCTCTTTTTTCTCTGTTTTTATTCTGTTTCATCTTTTTATTTGCTATCTGGAAGATTTCCTCAAGCTTCATATTCTAAGCCATCTATTGAATTTTTTATTATTGCTATCATCTTTAAGAGCTACTTTTGTTCTTTTAACAATCCTTTGGTGTTAGAACATTCTGTTTATATTTCATAAAGGCAATGTTTTATCTTTGCGAATATTGATTAGGTTTCGTTTTGTTTTCAGTTTTCTTCTTGCATAGTTTTCCTTCCATGTGTTGTCTTCATCATTTGTATTAGAGGTTTTCCTCAAAGTATTTGATAATTTATTATTTTTAGGCTTAAAATAGAGAACCATAAAGTTGTACCTAACATCTACGAGTTGTGGTCTTCATGTGGGATGATTGTTGGTCATCCTTGTCAGTATGGTTTTTCTTACTCAGCTTGAAGTTGGTCAGGTGCCCCAGAGAAAAGTTTACTAATCTGCTTTTAGAGAGACAAATGCAGGAAAATTGAAGTCTAGCACCTCCAGCAATGCCTGTACAAAAAATAAATCCCCATTTTTCTCTCAATGGAGTAGAGTAGTAGTTCTTCCACAGACAATAGAGGAAAGTCCAGACCCATTTGCTTCTCAAAAGAGCCTTCAACCAGTCTGCCTTATTTCCAGTCTTTCACTCCACCTTCGGGGATGCCTTAGGTCCCTGTCTTATGCATGATTTTGTGGTGGAAATCAGGCTTCAAATTATTTTTACTTTCTCCTGTGCCCACTGTGATTCTGTCTATAAACAGAATCAATTTTATGAAGTTTAATTGGTGATTAAGAGGGAACAAATTTACATGCACATATCCTACTTGTCACCTGTAATAGGCAGTTAGATCTCTAGCATTGGATACTTTTGAAGTGGAATGACATCTCTATTTGTGCTGGGGTTTTTTTATTTATTCCTGACAGGGGTTTGTTTTTTCCCCCCACTTGCTTATTCAAGTTCTAATGTCCATTTTTGACATAATTTCCTTTCATAATTCTGATATCTGTTAACTTTTTATCATCAGTCTTTAATACTAGAAAAATACCATAAAATTGCCTTAAAATCATTGTGAATTGATTGATGTACAGGGAAAAAAATCAGCCTAACAGTAAAGGGAAAAAAAATCAATCTAAAACGGTAGTGAGATACTTTATTTTACTTGTAGAATTTACAGAGATTTTTTTAAATGGCTTAAAAAAAAGTTGACTTTAACTATAGAATGTAAAATTTGTATAGATTTAATAAAGTTGACTAAAAGGTTATCATTTTCTTGTGATAGGCAAATTTGAAAACCTAAGTATCCAATAAAAATGAATTTATTAGGCACTCCCTGGTGGCACAACGGGTTAGGACAAAGCATTGCAAGCTGGCAAGTTTGATCCAGGGCCCCGGAGGTGATCCACATGGCGCGGCAGACCTCTCCTGACCCGCCCGCTGCTCCCCTCAGCAGTATACCTCCTCATCTGCCTGTTCTGCTCTGACTCTGTGTCTGGTGAAGCCTCTCACCACCCCTGCACCTCTGGCTTGTACCCCAGTTCTGTATGAATAAATAAATCTTTTTTAAAAAATGAATTTATTAGGCCCTCCCTGGTGGCGCAGCGGGTTAAAGCACAGTACTGAGAATCTAAAGCCACTTCCTCATGAGTTTGATTCCCGCCTGTCCCGGAGGTGACCACATGGCGCGGCAGACCTCTCCTGGCCCGCCCGCTGCTCCCCTCAGCAGTGTACTTCATCGATCTGCCTGTTCTGTTCCTCACTCTGTGTCTGGTGAAGCCTCTCACCGCCCCTGAGCCTCTGGCCTGTACCCCAGTTCTGTATGCACAAATAAATAAATCTTAAAAAAAAAAAAAAATGAATTTATTAAACAACTGGAATTTTTGCTATTATGTAATCATTAAAACCATTCAAGAAATCTATTAGTAGCATGAAAAGATATATAATAGCATTGAAAGATAAATAATCCAGTGTTTAGTATGTTAGAAAAATTGAATGTATTGATGTACCTTCAAAGCACCTAGTTGAACAGTAAAAATAGTAACTGATTAGCCCTGTGGTAGGAATGTAAGCAAATTTTGTCTTTTGATGTCTATATTTTATAAATTTTTAATAAAGCAATCCTATGTAGTGTGATCAGTGTACAAAAGTTACTGTTTATTGAGTTAGCTTGCTTATTTACCCTCGAGAAACTCAAAAAAGAGGGCATTATAGTTGTTTCAGAGAACAGTAGAGCTTTAGTATGAGATTGAAATACTCTGACTAACTTAAGCTTGTGATTCTCAAAACTTAAGTGTAGGGGAAGGTATCCTTGGGTCTATCAGAGATTCTGACTTTATAGCATTAAACAGGGACCCTTAATTCTGAGAACCAGGTGTGAAACAAAGCGAGATTTGTAGTGACCAAAGAGAGAGAGTGGTTAATAAAAAGGACTTCCTAACTGTCCAGAGATGGAAGGTCTTGGTTTTAACTTATACCACCAATGGGGGTCTTTCCTCCAAGCTTCATGGTCAAGTATTTAACAGTCTATTAAACATCTCTCCAGATTCAGATAGCGGATTAATTCCATTGTCTTCCATCACAACCCCAGTCACTCACACACTTTTCCGTTACTTGGGCTATCTACTTCCATTGGTGACCTAGTCTTACCAGCTCTTACTCAGACATGAGATATGTGAGTCATCATATTTGATTCTCTTCTCACTCCTCAGCCAATCATTCATAGCACCCTTTCTTTTTGTTTCCTCGATTTTCATTAAATCACTTCTCTCATTCTTAGTCTACCATAACTAGTGCTGTATTCTGGCCTTGGTCTTCTCCTTACCTCCACTTTTTTCTTCCTCTTTTACACTGGCAGTAGAATTACCTAAAAGGAAAACTTCATGGTGATTTTCAGTATTTCAAAATCCTTCAGTGCCTTTCCCAGTCCTCTCAGGATAAAAAATAAGTTCTTTAATATGACATAGGAAGTTTTTTATAACTAGTCCCACTAGCCCCTGCCTGCTGTGTAATTTGATCTCCTCACTTTCTTTCTCATGCTATAACATACAAGCCCTCCCGTAGTTGAATCGATAGTCATCTTGCTCTGCCTTACATGCATAGATCATTGTTTCTCTTTTGCTATTGCTGCTCTGTCTGCCTGAAATTCTGTGCTTCTCTCTGCAAGTCATAATAACATACCTATCTAGTGTTCTGTATTTCAGATTTACGTATTTCCCCAGTAACTTCCCCTCATCTTAGGTTGAATTGAGTAGTTCTCCTTACTCCATACTTCTCTACAGCCCTCATTAGTTCCCTGAATTATATTTGATATTCTTTTCCCCAGTGTTTGAGGCACATGTCCCAGTAATATCCTTGAGGGCAAGAACCTGTGCCTTTCTTTCCCTTTTATTTATTTATTTATTCTTAGTTTCAGTTCTAATATTGTTTCCAGTGCTTAGGTCTTCAATGGCTGTTTCACTGAATGAATGAGTAAATAAACTTCCCATCCTCAATGTGTTCAAGCATAGGAACAATACATACCTCCTGATAGGCGTGTTTAACTTAAGAACCCTTCTAACCTGAATATTAAAATTCATTAAAATTGCCTCCTTTGTGCCTCAGGAAAGATTGCTTTTTCTAGATTCTCTCTATTCTGCTCCTTTATTCTTTCAAGAGGAAAATCCTTAAACTATAAACAGCAGTTCAGCGTCTTTCAGTACTTTCTCACTGATGAAAGACATACTTGTAATTAGCTCAGTGGAGAAAATGATGCTTTATATTATAAGATAGATATTTGTTCTATACTTAGTAGGCTAGTTGCTCTCAGGATTGACAGCAGTTAGATTTTAGAATATACCTTAACACATGATTTTTGGAAGAAAGGTTAGCATATCTCTTGAACTTAGGCAAGTTACTTAACATCTTTAAGCACGTGTTATTTATCTCTAAAATGAGGTAATTCTTACTACTTAGCCTTTCTTCAAAAAGCAAATAAGAAATTGGATATGAAAAACAGGAGGAAAAATGTAAAGCTTCATACAAATGAAGTGGTGTTTAGTGTTCAGAAAAGTCTGTAACATAGTTTGATAATACACTAAAATATTTTTTGGGTTTTGTCATTGGGAGGAGTTGTAAAGTGGGAGGCGCTGAAAAGTTGTTGTCCTTTTAAAAATTAATATTAAATTTAATCAGTTTCTTTCACATCATTGAAATATTTCTTAGCAGAAAGGACATCTTTTTTGCTGCTTAAAAAGTTGCTTCATATTGAACATGAATACTTCCAAGGAGGTATCTATAATGGTAATTTTTTTCCATGTTCAACACCATAGGTATCTATGCCAGCAGCTCATGCAACATCATCTGCTCCCACCGTAACCTTAGTACAGCTGCCCAATGGGCAGACAGTTCAAGTCCATGGCGTTATTCAGGCGGCCCAGCCATCAGTTATTCAGTCTCCACAAGTCCAGACAGTTCAGGTATGTGTATAAAAAGTTCTGCATCTACTTTTATAACTGTTGTTTATAGCCATATCTATTTCCTTTTGTTAGTTATGAAAATAGGAACATAACTAGTTCAGAGTTTATTTTACTTACGGTAATAGAATATGCTACCTCTGTGCAGTTACCTATGTGTAGGAACATATATAAACACGAGAAGATATGTACAAGGAAAATACTGTTAAGCAACAGAAGAAAAACAGTTAGGGAAAATCCTAGAGTATATGGGATAAAGTGGAAATGTTTGGGAGAAACTAAAATTGGCGAACCTCTCAATTAAGGAAAATTGAGATAAAAAAAGTAGTAATACCTTGCAACTGGAAAAATTAACCCTTATCAAAACTTTAGGTAAGGTTATTAATTTTACCTAAGATGTTATTTAAATTCAAAAACACAAAAAGCATTTTAAAACCACCTATGTTTAGAATTCTGAGTTAGAAAATATAACTGAAATAATTACTCAAAGTGCACTGGAAGGGTCAGGATTCTACACATTATCTTACTCTTTAGCCAGAGGGTTCCTTTGGTTAGATCCAAAGGGAAAAAGCACTATAGGCCTGAACATGACTACATAACTGTAGGGGAATTAGAGCAGTATACATCTTCACATTGAACTTATTTTTTTTTTAATTTTTAAAAAGAACGATCATCCAAGTAGGCCATAACCCCAGCCTCCCATTTCATATTTTTTGCTTCACAGTCTTCCTGTAAGGACTTAAAAAGACTTTTCTCCGGAACGCAGGTGAGTCCTAGGTCCTAGATTTGGAGAGAACTATTTTTAGAAAGGAAGGTGAGAAATAATTCTTTGTCTTTGTTTTTCTCTATAAACGTGAAATTGAAGGTTTGAATAAAAATATTAATCTAGATCTAGGCCAACCTGATACCTATCCCACTCTTAGTCTTACTAATTTCCTTATATATCCCTTTTCCCCTCTTCTAAATAGTAGTCCAGCATTACACTTACAGAGAAAGGAAGCTCCATGTCCAAGGTAACTGATTTGTAATTAGGCATAACTGCTAAAATATTCCCTATTGTAGACAGAATATATCTTTCTGAAGTTTTTACTTTTTGGCCCTAGTTCTATCCTTGAAAACCAGATAAACAAGCTTAACTAGTTTTCTGTTGGACTACTTCCTCTTCCTCATCTCCCACACCCTTGCCATTAAAAAAGTCCAGACAAAACAAACACCTATTTTTCTTCAACCATTTAATATATGGTATAGCTTTGACTTTTTTTCAGTTTCCTCATTGTCTTTATTGTGAGAGCTGTTGTGTTTTCCTTGAATGTAATAGCCATACTGACTGATATTTGTAGAGAGGAAAAGTATCTTCTTTGTCTTAGAAACATTCTGTTGGTTATCATCAAATAATATATTAGATTATTTTAGATTTTATTAGCCATATTAAACTGTTGAGTCATTGAGCCAGTTACCCACCTTTACTTCATTCTCTCCTTGTGCTTTTGGTTTGCTTGGACATTTAAGGGTGGGGGAAGACAAAGAATGCTGGCATGTAAAACCAAATTGTATGAATTCCTGTACTGAAAGATTGTGAGAATGGAATTTGTTACCAACTAGGAGACAAATCCTAAATTAGGTAAAGACCTAAAGCATACTCTGTGAATTATACTGAGCAATAATCTTCTGTGCTGGCCTCAGTTTTTATTTCATGGTAGGTATAGAATGGTATCTGACCATTCTCCATTCTGTGACATTACTAATTCCCAGTTTCCTCTTGATAATAGTGGGAAGAATTTGACCATCTAGTCAACAGACTTAAATTCTGGAACCAGTTTGGGTATTAAGTCAAATGACCTTTATTTTTTTATTTTTTTCACTCAGAGTAAGAGGTCTTTCTGTAAAAAACACAAACTATAGCCACAAAATTAATATTATAATTTGGTGTTGTAAAATGTGAAGTTTAATTATTGACTATATTCTTCATTTTAATCATTACTTGGTGACAAAATAATTTGGACTGGGGGCATTCTATGGCCATTAACTTTATAGAAATACATGTTCATCTTTTCAAAAACACCTTTTTCCACTGAGATGAGCTATTATTGAAAGCCTGAATTCCACAAATAGTAATGCCAATATAGTACTTCTTATTTAAAGGGGTCTAAACCATGGAGAATCTGTTACTTGATGATCATTTCATCTGTTGAACAATGATTGACATTAATAACTAGAAAGTAGTTTGTATCAGAAGAAGTGATCAAAGAGAAATGCTCCCTCATACTTATAGTCAGGAGAATATTGATACCCTAAAATAGCATTTTAAAAATATGCAAGGTATATTTCTCTTGACAAGAAAATAAGCTATTAGGACTTCTGTCTATATTTTTAAATTAAAGAGTATTAAAAACTGAGCTGTACCAATATTTCATAAGTGGCTTACCATTGGTGCCCAACTTTATCCTTATATATATCTGTCACATCTCACAGACTAAGAATCTCCATAATAATAATGGGACCTATATAATGTATAGAAGCTAATAGTAACATCTTGATTTCACATTCGTTTTGAACCCTTTTCCATATAGCGCGGTTTAAATCTGTGTGACAGAGGATTCATGGATTATGTTACCTTAAATTACTACATTAATTTCTTCATTGAATTTTTATTGATCACATGCTATGTGCCAGTCACTGTTCTAGGTGCTATGAAAGACAGCAGTGAACAAATAATACTTCTCTATTCTCATGAAGATCACATTTGAGCGAAGAGAGACAATGAAAAAATAAAATATGTCAGGTGAGGATAAGTGCTGGGAAGATGATTAAAGCAGGGGAAGGGTAGATGATGATGTGGAGGGAAGGGTGTTTGTTATATAGGGTAGTCAGAGAAGACTGAGCAGAGACCAGAGGCAGACGAGAGAAGAGGAGGCTTAGCCATACAAATAAGAAAAGAAAGTCAAAGACTGAGAAGTGAAAGTATGCTTCACTTATCAAAGAAAAGCTAGAAAATGTGTCTCAAACAGAAAAAACTAAGGCAAGAGTGGATATGAATTTTTTGATAAAATCTTTACAATATAATGTGATAGGATCAACAGTAAAACTCTTTTGTAAGACATAAGAAGTTCAGTGATAATCATATAGCAAAACATTTTTTAAGTTGTCTAACCTAAGGATGAATTGTTTGTTTTTACCTAAGATGGTTATTCCAAAGTTTCTGATTTTTAATGATGCCGAGCAAGGACTTGCCAGGGATATATACCTAACATTTTTTTTGAAAAACTTTATTTTTTGGGAGAAAGTGAGTTTTAACAGTGCATTGAAAAGTAATGCTTGTTGAAAGAAACTTGTGTTTTGGAAAGAGAATTTTGACAGTAAAGCTTAGAAATATTACCATAGCTTTCATATAAATTTGTTACATAAAAATTTAAATCTGGGAGCCCTCTCTGGTGGCACAGCAAGTTAAAGCACAGTACTAAGAAGCTAAAGCCACTTCAGCATGAGTTCGATCCCCGCCCCAGAGGTGACCCACATGGCGCGGCAGACCCCTCCTGACCTACCCACTGCTCCCCTCAGCAGTGTACTTCATCAGTCAGCCTGTTCTGCTCCCCACTCTGTCTCTGGTGAATCCTCTCCCCATCCCTGAACCTCTGGCCTGTACCCCAGTTCTGTATTCATAAATAAATCTTTAAAAACATTTTTGTTTTAATCTGGACCTTCCCTAGTGGCACAAGTTAGGATGTAGCACTGCAAGCTGGCTGCATTCACTGCTAGTGTGATACCCTGCCCAGGAGGTGATCCACATGGCACAGCAGACCTCCTATTTCGCCCAGTGCTCTCCTCAGCAGTGGACTTAGTCTACCTGTTCTGCTCCCCACTCTGTCTCTGGTGAACCCTGTCACCATCCCTGCACCTCTGGCCTGTACCCCAGTTCTGTATACGTAAATAAAGAAATCTTAAAAAAGAAAGTTATATCTTTATACTTTTAAAATCCTAGAAATAGAATTTTCTAAGCTATTTAGAAGTCTACTGGAGGATTTGTTGTGAACTTATTTATTAAAATATGAACCTGTAAGACCTATGGGTATACAAAGTGGCTGAGAGGAAAACACTGGCTTAAATCTCAGAACTTCTCATAATTAGTAGGTGAAAATGGGAACTGATAGATTAGCAGGCCCAGCTAAAAATGCCCTTTTGTATTTACTGTTGAGTTTTTTTGTTTGTTTGTTTTACAGTAATAACAGATGTTACATCACATCTCAAAAAGTCTTGTTTAAAATCAGATTTTTAGATCAGTATGAAGTATTAAATGATTTGTAATGAAGAATGTTAAATAAAATTGTCACTTATGAAAAATTAAAGGATTTAACTACAAATATATTTCAGTGTGTGCTTATCTTTTTAAAATTTTTGTTTTATAAATTGCACACTTAAAATGTACAAATAGAAATATATGCTTATGTAAAATTTTTTATGAGCAATATGCAGATCACAAAATTTGGAGGTCTTTGCTTTTAGGATTTTCTAAGCTTCTTGAACCATTGGGTCAAAATAATACCTAAACCATAAATCTGAACTCTATTTAGAGAAAGTACTTAGTCTTCTAGGAACCATGAAGAATTTGAGAAAACACCTACTAATACCTTTGCTTTGACTTGCTTCAGTCACTGTATGTTTTGTTCCTGAAGTTTCAGACATATCAAAATACGGGGGACTTTTTTTTCTACTTGAAAAGCAGGTAGTATAAGTTTTTAACAAATAAAGTGGGAAAATGTAGACCTAAAACTTGATATCTACAAGTAATAACTTGGCTTTTTGAGAGTTTATTGACCAAGCTTCACCCTTTTCAAGGAACTCAGGAAGTGAGCAGTGGGTTATTTATTAGAGAGGTGAAGGGAAGTGAGGGCCAGAGGAAGGAGCTGTCACTAGAATGTAATGAGACTTTGGCATTTAAAATTGGGGTGTAGTTCTCCGAGTTTATTGTAATAATCAGTTAAGTATATATTAAACTAATGTTATATATAAGAAGAATTCTGACTCACAGAAGTGTGGGTCTAGTGGTTTTCTGGGG